AGAATTTCTGTGGCTACTTTATTCATGAACATTAGCTTGTGTATTATCCAACCCTTTGAAAAGTTATACTTTCCACATCACTGATTATGGAAGGGTCTACTTTGGTTCCACTGACTTTTGCCTTTAAAAAATCCATGCCCTCCATTTTTACCCCTTAGGCAGTAAAGACTGTATTGTCGTCACCCCGCCGGCATGAACGCCCAAGTTTGTAAAGATGATAACCTGAGAATGACGCCACGTAGGATTTTCACATTTATACCTTTGGTGTGTCTGAGCAGCCACCAGTATTTCTGTGAATCGGTGGAGATACTTGAGATGTTTAGGTGGACTTGGAAAAAAATCTAAGTGGAACACATGCTTGTTGGTGTTGTCTGCAGTTGTCCATATCCTCATATAAAGAATGCATTTTTGACTGGTTATATGACTTATACCCGCCTCTCGCCCTACGATAGCTGGGATAGGATCCCGCCCCCTGTCGAAGACGATGGATGGATACGACTTCTATCGTATGTTGTTGATGAGCACGAGAGAACCAGCAGAGAGAAAAGGAAGATTAAAAATCCAGCGTGACGAGTGATAATTGAAAGGATTTTGATCATCAGATATAAGCAGGAAGTCAGCTGCTTTTCCCTTGACTTCTGAGTTATTTTTGTTTCATGCAAAATCAGAAGTTAATCACGCAGACTGTTCTGTGATCTGCCGCCCTGGCTGCATGCATGTGCATCGTGGTCGTGAGCAAGTCTGTCCCAACCCTAACGCCTAAGTGTAGTGAGAGCAGCAGGGATCTGTTTTATAAAAGCATTCTTCTTACACACAACAAAAGCTCATCTCGTACTCGTTTCACAGCATGGATGACCCACTTTCATTTCCTGATTCAGGATCTTGACAGTAGTGACGTTTAACATGCATCAAGCGCAGTGAGCGTAGCGCAGCAGCATCTCTGGTGTGTTCATGCCATGTCTTTGTTTGACGAAGGCCTGTTTCTCACTTCTTCTTGAACACATTTCAGCTCATACCAACACTGCTCGGTGTTTCCCTTTCAGCTGAGTGCTTTCAGGCCAAGTTGAGTTCCTCTTTGAGTAAGCCCACTTCCTGTTCAGCTGGGACTGATTCCTCTCTGTCTTCCTGTCTCTCAGTCATGTGATGGTCCCTGTCTGAGCAGACTGCTGCAATATGGAGAACACTGTCAGCTAACGAAGGAATGCAAACACTGAATCTGTCTGTCTTTGTTCCTACAGCCATGCGTCCATGCACCCGTCTTCTTCCATTGATCCAAAGTTGGGTTAAAAATGCAGCAGAGTATTCCAGATGATCACTCGCTCTCAGGAAGTGGAGATCTCGAAGCATTCCCAGGCCAGATAAGATATATAATCTCTCCACTGGGATCTTTTTCCAGTTGAAGGTGCCAGATGGTGATGAAGCTGCGAGGTGATCTACTGGGATAATGTAGTACTGTGAGACGGGCCTGGTTGTTGCTCACTGGTGGCATCGCCTGGTGCGTTTAGGAGATCACTGCATAGATTCATAACAAGCTGCCCTTTAGGTGCTAACATGGCTCTTGCTTTCAGACATGCCCGAGCTTGTCTCGCTGCACCGACTGGGGAAAGTAAATGCATGGTGTTGCTGTAGTGATATTCTATTATGACATTTTTATACGATGTTAAAATGATCACAGTATGACAGGCACGGTCTAAAGCCTGAGCAGGGAATATTTTAATTTTGTGACATTACACGTGTATCAAAAAGTAAAGCAAAGCAGCTCTGCTGAGCTTGCCATGTTTCTTATTAGCCTGTGTGATTTTGTCTCAGTGATCACAGCCGCTCCCTGCTGTTTGTGGCCTTTCTAGGAAAATAATAAGCTGTTCAGGTCTTTCCACTCTTACCACACACTCACACACAGTCACGTGACTGTGAAGATCTGTAATCAGCATGTTTATATTCCTTTCAGTCGTTTGCTGTTGGTCGCTCAAGGACAACCTTTCATTATGTCACACACACACACAAGCAGGTGCAGGTAACAACAGTGTAACCATCGAGTCTGTTCTGATGCTGTGAGTGTGTCTTTGTGAAAGCAGCAGCACAGCAGAGACGGAGTAAAGGTGAAGGCCTCGTGTCACTGCACGCTGG